CCACATTATCAGAGCTTGGTAAAAATACAAGAAAAGCAACATTGTCTTCGGCTTCAGAAAAATCACACTCTATGTGGGGGGCAGGAAAGTTCATGGATAATTCTAATACATGTCATAAAGTATTACATGTTTTGTGTAGGAAGACAAAACAGTTCCTAAGGTGCTTTCCTTGCAAGGACTGGATCTGAATCCAGTCCTCACAACCCACACAAGCACAGAATCAAACAAAAGCAATTGTGGTGGTGTGCACTTGTAATATCAGGACTAAGGAGGCAGGAATGTGCAGATCCCCATGTCTTATTGACCAAACAGCCATCTGACTCTAGGGCCATGAGAGACTCTGTCTCAAGAGACTGAGATAATATTCTGTACCACACTCCATCTGTTCATCAAGGAAACTTAGAGGAGAAAGACTACACTAATCTGTAGGTGTGAGGCAAATGATTATAGACTGTTGTTAAAGTTTATGCTGATCTAGTAAATTGGGGGATATTGATTCTCCTAGACTAACCATGCATTCACTGGCACTGAGCAATTAGGTAGGCTTCCCATGCCAGAGGGAAATGGGAAATGGGGAGGAGGCAGAAATTTTTTTCGACAACTAAAAAAAAAAAAATTAAAAAAAATTGTTGACGAGTTTGGTTTAGCACAGAATCTCATGCTAAGCTGGGTCTGGCCTTGAGCTAAGTCAACATTGCTGAAGGAGTCCAATTCTTTGGCGTACCATCATGTGAGGTAAATAATATGCCTTTTCCCCCCAACAGCTTACTGAATGAGAAAAGAAGTTTGAATAAAATGAATCTTTTTATCATATGCATTCAGGCCATTGAAATTAGCCTAATAAAATTGGAATATTTGGCTCCTAGCAAGCTTCTATCACTATGTCTATAGCTCAGATGTTGGGTTTCTTTTTGTTTTTGAGGACAAAGATTTTATCTTTTTCATTTTTGTATTACCAGCACACAATACTCTGGCATGCAATGTGGACTTCAATACATAAGTTTATAATAAACAATTTAATCATCTTTGAATGAGACAATAAATTAAAGAATTAATAAGGAAGAAATTCCCCCTAGATCCAAAGCAGCAACATCAAAAGAATTAACTATAACGCTGTAAGTTTTACTAAGACAGCTGAAGAATGACTATTAGACCAAACAAAAATACATGGTTTAGAAATATAAACAGAAGATCATGAAATACTGGTGAGACTTTTATATCACAACTATATGATTATAAGGTTTAGTTTTCTCCCACTTAATAACAGCCCATGTTCTGGACATTTCAAATTTGATATTATATAATGTTGATGATGTTTAAATTTCATGAACAATATATACTTAAAAAATGTGGAAATGTAGTGATACATACCTGTAATCCCAGAAGTCAAAAAAATTGAGGTATAAAAGATCCTGGCTTTGAGTGCAGCCTGGACTTTATAGACTGATGAAGAAAGAAGGGGAGGTGAGAAACAGGAAAAGAAGGTAAGAAGGAGAGAAAGGTGCAGGGGAGGAAGAAGAAGAAAGCAGCTGACCTGGTTAGCTCCCAATCTATAAGCTTGTCGGATTTCTCTGGCTTGTGATTCTACTGCTAATTCCATTTTCAAGGCTTCTACAGTTATGTGTATTTAACACACATGAGTCCCATCAAGGGGTTGATCTTGGTTTTAAGTACTGATTTTCACAGCATTCCATGGAAGAAATGAGGTACAGGTTAGCCTATATTGGCTGAAACATACATTCTCCCCAGGTAGTTGTTAGACAGTGAAAATGCATTGACTAAAATGATAATGTAGTTGTCAGGAAGTGAGAGTGCACACCTTTAGTCCCAGTACTCAGGAGGCAGAGGCAGGTGGATCTCTTTGAGTTCAAGGCCAGCCTGGTGTACAGAGCAAGTTCCTGGACAGACAGGGCCACATAGAGAAACCCTATCTTGAAAAACACAACAAAAATAGATGAACTCTTCTACATGAAATGATCTTGTTATAAATTTCTGTGTTTAGCTTTTCTTAAATGAGCTCTATCCTACAAAAGAATGAGCTCATGGATAATCTGACGTGACAAACTGAAGACTGGACCAGGTATACAGTGACACTTTTGGAGGTGTCCTGTCATTCATCTGACCTAATTCTCACACTCATCTTTAGTTAGTAGTGCCAACCACATGTCAGGTTCTATGAGAAGTTACAGCGACAGCATCTGTGACCAATGTAGAAGCTTGGGAAATCCAAAGTGTCAGGAAATTCAAATAAAGGCTATCAGCAGAGCTATTTTTTAAAAAAAAAAAAGCTTAGCCTTAAAGCCAAGGTAGAGGTAAACTGCAAACAGGCAATTTAGTTTATGATGTTTAGTGTGATGAACAAACCATATATGTGGAAAAGGGACCTGTATTGGTGAGGGAGAGTGATGTGGGGGTCAAAGATGGTACAGAGTGATAGCAAACACAGTGGCATTGTCAAAGAACAGACGTTAACTACTTAAAAAAAAAAAACAGGAATGTGCTAAATAGTGCTTTATGAGGGAAAGGACAGGGTTGACAGATGAAGGAGGACGATAACGAGGGTGGGTGTGACAGTAATAAGAATGAATTATTTATGTATGTGAAATTGTCAGAGGCAACATTTAATCAATAAAAAATTAGTTTTAGTGACATGAACAGAAAAATATAAAGTACTCCATTCAGCGTTATATAACCATAGCAGGATTTTTTTTTTTTTTAGTCAGTTAGATAATGTAATAACCACATACATACCCACAGGGAAAGGATATCAACAGTACAGTATAAAAACAGGGTATAGAAAAGTATATGTGCACACTACCGTTTGTGGAATGTGACCTTTATGCTAATTTATGTATGAAACTAATAAAGTCTTAGAGAAACAATAAACAAGAATATTTTTAATCCCTTTTAAATACAGAAAACTTGACTTGAAAGAAATGCTATCTAGGGGCAAAAAAGGTTGTTTTCATGTTATTTTCTTTTAAGTTTTTCACTATGATTTCGAATAGAGAAATTATTCAAATAATTAAGACATTTCAAAACGCCAAAATCCTGTGATAGGAGTCAGAATAGGAGAAAATAAATGCACTAAAGGAATAGAGAAGGATGTGACATGTTGAATAGAATTCAGAATGGTATCATCTTTTATCTTTAAGATTGACATGCTCCAGGAAGTCTCTGAATGTTTCATAGGATTTAAGTTTCAAAAGCCATAGAACATTTATCTCACTGGGATAAAATCCAGATAGACTGTCCAGATACAAACCCTGTTTCTACTGCCTAGTTGCCGTGAAACAGTAGAGAAGCTAATTCATTGTTCTGTCAAAACATAGAACATAGTAATTGGGATGAATGGAGTCCATATCTGTAGAATACTGAAAAAGATACCGCACTGACTTTAAAGAGTCCTCACTTATATGACACTTGACGTATTGGAAATGAATCAGGAACTTAACCAGGAGACTGATATCTGATGAAGATAGAATCAATCTATTAATTTTGGTTGTTTCAATTTCAAAATTTGTTGGAATCTGAACATGCCTCCTCTTTTTAAGTGCTATCATCCTAAACAAAGCTTCCTCTCCCTGCTTAATAACTCAAGCCTTATGCTTTTAATCTCCACAAAACCCAACTCATTTCTCACTTGTCAGTTAACGATTTTTTAATCTATCCATGTTTAACGCAAGACTAATTTTTTGTTCTTCTTCTTCTTCTAAAATACTTGGGAGCACATGAAGCTTCCAATCTGTTAGCCATCCTGACTTTTTACTTTTGATAGATATATATTCAGAACATAACTAGAATGAATACAGCTCTCAGTACCCTGTAACAGAATTCATTAACTCGAACCACTTCTTCCGCTTTTGTTCTCTTTTTCATATAGAAAGGTAAAGTTCTTAATGAAAACTAGGAAACACTCCTAAACCACATATTTTTGCCATTGTTTGTTTCTCATGACTGACATATTCTTCTTCCACTTATTGATAATCCTTAAAATGCACTAGACATAGATACATTGGTACAATCTATAGCATTCATCAAAACAAGATCTAGAAAACATCATTCTGAGTGAGATAACCCAGACACAGAAAGACAATTATAATATATACTCACTCATAAGTGGCTTTTAGAAATAAAGCAAAGAAAAACAAGAGCCTACAATTCACAATCCCTGAGAACCAAGACAACAAAAAAGACCCCAAGAGAGACATACATGGAACATACATGGGAAGTAAAAAAAGACAAGACTTCCTGAGTAAATTGGGAGTGTGGGGATCATGTGAGAGGGGAGAAGGGGAGGGGAGAAGAAGGAAGGGGAATGAAGAAAAATATATAGCTCAATAAAATATAATAAAAAGGAACAAATGTATCCTTGTCATTATATTTTGTATATGAAAACATAAATCAGGCCATTAGCAATAGGACAAGTTTTACTGGCTTCAAATCTATACTTAGTTCACTGCCATGTCCCCACTACTCACCAAGAACTCAACTTCATGTATGATTTAACATCATAAACTTTGATTGAATTAATGAATTCATAGTTTTGAGACTAAAGGAGGTGAGTTATAAATTATCAAGTAAGTATAGTGGAGACCAAATAGGACAGAATCTAGTACTCTCAGTTGGAAGACTTACCAGCTGGGGAAATAAAGATTGTTTAAAATCTTTTGAGTCAGAAAGGTACAGTATTATAGATAACTAGGGAAATAAATTTGACATATAAGTAAATGGGTAACATGGAAATACAGTGTTATTCCAAGTTAAATCATGGGATAAGGCAAGTTTTGATCTAGTTAAAAAGTTTCATTTTGCTTCACGGTTTTGAAACAAAAACCACAAGTGATCGAGAACAGTTAGGAACAACATGTTACACCTATTCCTAGTGTGGTCCTCAATTGTGAATGCAGCAAATTCATTCCAAATATTTGGGATCTATGGATGTGGCTGTGGAGCAAAGCTTGGTAGTATTTCAAAGTCGACTCTTTGTTTCTCAACAGGTTCTCTGACTCTAAGAACACATCATGTTCAAGATTCCAAAATGGGATTTGTGATCAATGCTATCTATTCTATGGCTTATGGGCTCCACAACATGCAGATGTCCCTGTGCCCAGGCTATGCAGGGCTCTGTGATGCCATGAAGCCAATTGATGGACGGAAACTTTTGGACTCCCTGATGAAAACCAATTTTACTGGTGTCTCTGGCGACATGATCCTGTTTGATGAAAATGGAGACTCTCCAGGAAGGTACTGTTACAATTCTTGTTAACAAAATCACCTTCTACTTTGGGGTCTTTCTGTTTTGGTTACTTAGGCTTCTTGGACAGGTTTGGCTAAGGCTCATATTCCAAAATGAGCCAAGGCAGACAGGAACAGCCTCATGTCCAGTGTGGCCAAGGTAAAGCATTGATGTTAATACTCACGGTGCACTTGTGAATTCATCACCATTTCACAGGCATAAACTTAAGAGGCAGACCCCTCAGCTTATTATTGACGAAGAAAATCCATCCTGAGCGTCTCCCAGGCAGGTTATTGCTGGTCTTTGCTGACTTCTTATGGCAACACTGTTCTCAGACATTTCTGGTAGCCCAGAACTAGGGTTAAGATCTTGCTCTTCCATTTACTCTGCCTGCTGGTGAGTCCCATCTTACTTTATTTTATTATCTGTAACACAAGGGCTTTCTCCTTGTTGAGTTAGAAAACTGCCTTTCACTCTGACTTCCCTATTATTTGTGTGGAGGTGACTGAAAATTATGGAACGTCATCATTATAAGCCAACCTTTAGAGAAATCGCTAGGCATTGAAAACTTACCAGAATTCACCTCTCTCCCCTACTTTACAGACTTGTTTTGTTTATACTGTATTTTAAATACACGGAGGATAATTAATTGACTTTATAATGAGTTACAGCAGAGCTAAGTAACTACTCTGCTTTACAAAAAACAACCAAGCAAATAAATAAATAAATGAAAACGCAGAGGATCCTTTGGTTCCATATTCTTTCCCCAGCAGCAGTTTGTGCTAACAGCTGTGTTCAAAGAGCTGCATGCTCTCTGTTTGCAGTCAGTCCTGCCAAGAGAACAACTCGTGAGTACCCCCCGCAACTTGAAACCCATGTGGCCACACCTTCTGCCAGCAGCCTTGCTCTAGCACATTTCCACTTCCTGAAGTAAGCTGGAGCTGGCCCTGGACACAGCTGTCAGCATTGCACAAGCTTCCCGGCCAAGTGACAGGCAGCTAGATCCAGGTCTCACGGCCAAGTGACAGGCAGCTAGATCCAGGTCTCACGGCCAAGTGAAAAACTCGGTATTTCCTGTATTCTAGATACTTAAAGGGTTTTAGCCTAGCTCAGATATTTGCAAAAGAGACTGGCTTTTTACTGTCTTCTGCTTCGGGAATCTTCTGCATGTTCACGGTGGGGAAGAAGAAGTAGTTTCTAAGTACCAAAGGAAATTTCACATGTACTGTACATCTCAGTATTAAGCTTAAACTCTGATTCCTGGGCATGGATTATTTAATGTTCTTGTGTGAACTACAGCACTGATGTTACCCCGGGCCCTGTTAATAGATTGGTGATGGCAGCGTCACCATCTCAAGAGCTTCCTTGTCATGTGTCTGGGCCTGATCCACAAACCAGATGAGGGGGAAATATCTCGGGTGGCTCTGCTCAAACCCTGTGAGAAACCTTCATGAATTAGGCAAACCATCACTGCCTCATTCCTCATTGACAGTTCTCCTAAGAGTCATCTTGGGAACACTGCTTCTTCATCCTTTTTCAAATCCCTTCAAGACTGATACAATTCTAGATATTTCTTCAATAATAAAATGCATACTATTGCAAACAAATTTTACGAATTAGTGTTCACTTGGAGTCTAGCCATGCACTGCTAAATTTAGGCATAAAATTAAACCATAATTAGCAGAATTACTTTGCAACTTTTTTGTTTTGTCAATGCACCTAGTTCATACATACAGTGTTTATACTGAACTCTTTGACTAATAATAATAATATATAAATATGCACATAAAATGTGCATGCAACCAAATTGGGCAACACAATGAGACCCAAATCTGCAAAAATATAAATATAACTAACATTTACCAAGTGTGTATGATTCAGAACACACACTAAACTAAAAGCTAATTTTTTAATTATATGAAGTAAGCAATATTTGTATTCTTTCTAGATATGGGAAATGAGAAATCACTAACATTTCAATGATCACCTAAAATTTCAATAAGGATAGAGATACTCGTTTCTTTTTCACTTTTGAGGAAGAATGAAATCTATATCCCCCTTGTGAGTGTTGTTTAAAAGTCTCATTTCTATTCAGAAATAGAGACTGCTTATTGGAGAATCTTAGGATGGAGAATTATTCCTGTCTCTTTCAACTTTAGTTTGGTGCACAGCGAATGAAGAATGGTGGTGGTGATAGTACCTGTTCACAGATAAGCATTGCAGATAGGACCTTTGTTGTTGTTGTTGTTATCTTGTATAAAAACAAACAAACAGGCTCATTTTTTTTCCAAAGGGAAGACTCAGTCTCTGGGTCTATTCTAACAGTTTGATGAATTAAAAGAAAACTAAGAATAAATAAATTTTTCTTCAAGTGACTCCCTGTCAATGTGATATTTGTCATTCCACAGAGATTTTCAGTTTTCAAACCCTGTATCTCCTTACCTTTTAGGTTCTCTTTCACAAAAACTAAGGTAATTGGACATAGATCATGACTGATCTAACGAGAAGAAGCGGTAGATTTAAAATATAAATGCTTACTTAGGGTCCTGGCTCTGACATCTGTGTTCTATGCAAACTGGTCATAACAATTAATCTCAGTGAGCTTCAGTTCCATTATCTATAAAATTAATAGCTAAGTCTAGACAGTTCCAAGACTGAGAATTGGAAGAAACGGTGCTTTGGCTCATTTTTGTGAGCAATTGAGTTCTTATATCTCTTCAAATCATCAGTAGTCAAGAAGAAGTCTCCAGATACTGACATTTCTTTCAGACTAGGTCATTCAAAGTTTTTTTTCTTGCAAAAAGTCATGTTTCAAGGCTGAGAAGCCTGTGTGTTTGAAGTAGCCAGTGACATAATAATACATGAGTTCTTTTTCCATCACTGTTCTCTGTTCTATCTCCTGCGGCCACTGCATGTTTGGTAACTTTAACCACTGGCCAACTCTGACAGCATGGAAGAAGTAGCCTTAGAATCTTGATTTAGAAAAATGCTCAAAGTAAAGATGGTAAATAAAAAGCAATGCAAAAGAATCCACAGTTACTGAACGGCCATCAGAGTATTGGACTAGGTTAACCCTGAAAATAAAACTGCAGGTATGAATTTTAATCAGCAACAAATAGAGAACGGAATCATTTACAACACTGCTCAAGTATGTTAATCCAGCTCGTTCTTTGTATTTTCACAGGATCATCGGATTGAGTATGTCAGCTTAGTAGGCATAACTATAAATCTGTACCCATTTTCCAATAGCTAAACATACTGAGTATGGGAAGTTAGAAGGAACATTCACGACCCTATCTGCCTGTACTGAAAGTTCTGGAAAGTATGAAGTATAGTGTATTATGTGAGGGCAACCCATAGCAAGGACAACCTGTAGGAATATGGAAGGCTGTTGAGTGATTCATTGAGAAATTTCTGTTTGGAAAATTGTTTCATAAATACGCTCCTGAAAACAGAAGAAAAGTCTTGACAATTGCTTTCCTCGCCTTATATTTTTGTCCCTAGACTCAAAATGAGAACGATATCTAAGAAAACCTGAGAACTCATCTACTTGGCAGTATTTTTCAGCTAAGGTGCTGTTGAAACTATTTTCAGATTGTTTTTTTAAATACCCCGTAAATTATCTCTACATAATAAATTTACCTAAAACAAAGGCAAAATCAGACCTGTTCATTTTTTAAAGAAATTTAATCTGTTTAATCCACAAACTTTCCATAACTTTAGTTAAAAACTAAAATAACAACTAAAAATAGTGAAACTAAGACACTTCTCAAAGTCAAAGCTCTTCCAGCCTTGCAAAGCAAGAGGTCTTTAGTCTGTGCACCAGTTGGAAGAATAAGAAAAAAATATGAATGGAAACTGCAGTGTTTCATAAAACAAACCTTTATGTCACTGAAGGATTCTTCCTAAATTACTATTGAATTTCTAACATCAAAAAAATGAGATCAAAGATTAAATAAATTTCACAGTGAAAAAGGAAACTTTTCAGCAGATCATTTGAACAAAGTTAAACAACTCCCTGATTTTTTTTCCTCGTAAACCAACAAAAGTTCATGTTTAAAATTCCTGAAGTTCTTTCAAAACTGTCTTTCATCCTTCCTGAGTTCCAGTAACTTTCTCACATAGGATTTTATTTTTCAGGTATAAGCATGACTTTAAAAATAGGTCTCTAAGATGAAAATGAAGTAGAAAGAATTTTGTTACTCTAAACATACCGTTACATAAAATTCGTGTGATTTGCCCAACAATTAATGTATTGGGGGAATGAAACTATTGCCTTTGCATATATGAGGATTTATGACCTTTGCTAAATAATTATTATATTCTTGTTTCTAAGGTATGAAATAATGAATTTCAAGGAAATGGGAAAAGATTATTTTGATTACATCAATGTTGGAAGTTGGGACAATGGAGAATTAAAAATGGATGATGATGAGGTATGGTCCAAGAAAAATAATGTCATTAGATCCGTGTGCAGCGAACCATGTGAGAAAGGCCAGATAAAGGTAATATACAACCTACATTCCTTTAATCGCTTCAAATTTAACAGTATTTACTCTCATTGTATATTTTTTCATTTATTTATTACTTGTTTGATGTTTTATATTGCAAGCTCATAATGTCAGAAAATGAGTTTATTTTTGACTTTATTCTGATCAATTCTTTAGGAAGCCTAGCATTCAACTCATAATAGTCGAGGTAGCTAATCTGAGCTCATCAATTCAACTGAGAAGTCATATTTGACCTACTTACTCTTTCTGCATATGAATGCTTCTAAAGATAATGATTCCTAAGAATAAGTAATTTAGAGCTAAAAAAAAACATATTTAACACATGGCTATCAAAAATCTCAATTTAATTAATATCCATGGGAGAAAATGTAATGTCTCCATCAGTAGATTTAATATGAATGAAGAAAAATACACGAAAGGGAAGCAATATTACGATAATGTGACGGCCTCATTAAAAGAAAGAATCACAGGAATATAGGCTTCTCTGAATATAATTTCTAGCATCAGAATATAAAACTTGGTATGATTTCAAGGAAAGATCACAGATGTAAGGGAACTAGCAAGAGACAAGGTAGCATATAGGATACTAGAATGGCATTGAGTAACTGAGAGTACATAAATGGTTACTGTAAATAGTTAGTAGGAAAGAAAACATTAAAATAGCAGATGAAGGCCAATTTTTATGGACAGTCTTCAATATTATACTAAATAACTAATATTTTATGACAAAGAATAATAGTGTAATATTGACTAAAATGTCCACACATATTGGCCCCAGTAGATGATGCTAGTAAGTAGATTTATGGAAGATGAAACAAGAAATAAGAGTTAAAATATAGGATGTTGACTGTGGTGGTACAGAAATGAACAGTAAGTGTCAATATAGAAGTAGAAATGACATTGGATAAAAGCTTTGCAGAGCTACAACCACTCAGTACCAGATGCTGATTAAAAATTGGGTCAGGAAAGAAATGCAAAATATGAGAAAATCAACTGCAATTCCAAGTCCTAGCAACAAAAAGTACCATTGTCGTAAATGAAAGAAAAATGAATAACTGAGATATTGTTTTTCAAATAAGCTGCTTAGCAGAAATCCTAATTACAAGACACGCATTATGGAAGTAAGAACAGACTCTTGTAATTTCTGGTATGTTCATGAACACACACAAACACACACACCAAAAAGAAAAGTGGTTTGAAAGGAGAGTAGATGAGTTGGTTTCGAGATTTGTTGATTTTTTGATATAATAAGGACATGAAAATTGATCTAGAAAAGAAGAAAAAAGAAATCATACATATAAGGCCAATGATCTGGATTTAAGAATAAACTAATTAGAGCTTAAACTGACACTGTTTGGATAGATTCAAAATGCTCAACCTGAAAGCTCAAAAAAGTAATAATAATAGTGGACACCAAAAATAAGACTTCAAAAACGTATGCTTTGAATATAAAAGGGAAAGTGGTTGGGGAGAGCCAATTCTGCGAGAGAGGGGGACAGTGGAGAAATGCTGTCAGGCAACATGGTGGACAGCACAAGACAGGCTAGATGAAGACTCAAAATTATCATTTCCTCTGGATCTTCTTGGAGAAAAGACAACCAAATGAACAGAATACAGTGATAGAGTATTTGGGGGGAAGCAGGTAAGAAATAACTTGCTGTGAGGATACTGGTTTTCAATCCAGGAAATAAAAAACATCAACAAAGTTGAAATAAAAACATAATTAAGAAAACAGGGAGAGTTAGTAAGTGAAAAATAATATATTGGGGGAAGAAAAATGATAATGAAATAGTTTAAGTGCTTATCCAGTAAGCATTGCCATCTCAGGCATGCAGAACACTTAAATTTCCTTGAATCTTTTCATTCAACCCTACATTTACTCAAACTTACAATATTTTTGAGATATTATGTGAAAACAGAAATATTTTAACATTGATCTTAAGGTACTCGGCAGGGGCACTAAGGACTTTGGAAATTAAGGCTAGACATAAGATAAACAAGACCAACAAAATAAATATAATTTTAACACATGGAAATTGATGTGGGACTTTCATTGGTTAATAAAGAAACGGCTTTGGACATATAGCAAGGCAGAACTTAGCTAGGCATGGAAAACTAAACTGAATTCTGGGAGAAGGAAGGCAGAGTCTGGGAGAAGGAAGGCAGGGTCAGGGAGAAGCCAATATCCCTACCGGAAACAGATGCCAAAACTTTAGCAAGTAAGCCACAGTCACATGGCAATACACAGATTAATGGAGATGGGTTAAATTAATATGTAAGAGTTAGCCAGTAAGAAGCTAGATCTAATGAGCTAAGCAGTGATTTAATTAATAATGTTTCTGTGTGATTATTTAGGGACTAAGCAGCCGGAAACCAACAAGTAGCCTCCTCACAACAGGAAATAGCTTAACAGCTATTTTTTGGCCTGCTTCTCTACCATGTTGCATGGGATGTTACCGATACAATGGTAGAACTGGGTTCCCTGTCACCATAGTCTTAACATTGGTTACATATTTACATTTGCTTGGTTCCTCATTTTCAAATTGTTTTCTCCGTAGATCTCCTTTCCACTCTATGCAATATATATTTGATATCATTTTCTTAATATCTCTTACAGCAGTCATGGATCACCTTCCTCCATAGTAACGTCCCCTGGCATTGTCCCTAGATTTATGAACTTGATTTCCCATGGAGGCTTGGCACCCTTCAGGGCCAGTGAAAACAACTTTTGCTTTCAGTCTGTTGTTCACTGCTGGAGCTGCTAGGAAAGACATTGTCACTGTGTCTTGTCATAAGTGATGATGAGAATCAAAACAGAACATGCAAAATGCCTAAGCCAAATTGGTTTAGAATGATTGAAGACCATATATCAAGCTGTCATGATTCAAGGAGACTTACATGGGAATTATTCTTGGAAAAATGAATGCATTTATATGAGCAAAATATTGACATTTATAACGAATGAAAAATGAGCCACAGGCTGTCAGCATATTTCAAGGGTGAAAAACTCAGTATCTTAAATTTACCAACCCTTGTAAAGGTCTAAAAAGAATGTCTCATTATTTTAAATAAAACTACTTATGTTAAATAATCTAACAATTATCTAAGAGTAGTTTGGATTACCCTAAAAATTAAGTTCTCCTTTCTTAAATATATATATATATATACATATATATATATATATATATGTATATATATTTGTGACTAATAAAAATAGGTCATATTTTAGTGCTTTACATTTTATGAATCACTAATCATTTATCTGAAGTAAACTCTATTAAAAAAATGAAAAAGCTTGAACAAGAAGAGTCTGGTTTAGTTTCTATGCAGTACCATTAATCAGAATTTCAAATCTTCCCCTCAGGTGATCCGGAAGGGAGAAGTAAGCTGTTGTTGGACATGCACTCCCTGTAAAGAGAATGAGTATGTGTTTGATGAGTACACCTGCAAGGCGTGTCAGCTGGGGTCCTGGCCCACCGATGACCTGACAGGTACTTTTGTCACAGTGTCTGCACATTCCTCTGAAACCAACCCAAAAGTCATGCGGTCATGACGAGGAAAGGGGCATGCCTCCTCAAAGCTTTCATTGAGCATAGGCTAGGGTTCAAAGACTTCCCTTGGAAACAGAAGCCTTCCCAAAGCAAGGCTCATCCTGGAAAGCTTTAGATTTCAGAGGAAGTTCTGCCTGATTTCCATCCTGACTCCCAAACAGAACTCTTGGTTGTCTACTGGTCACACTTAGCCCATTCTCAGAACATTTTACACATTCCTAAGTAGACCATGAACTTCCTGTTAAGAGACAGACATACATCACAAGTCCAAGAACAAAAGATTTTTTAAGCTAAAAATTGTATCTTTTTCTTTGTTTTTTCTTTCTTTTTGAAACCTTAAGTTTTTCAATAAACATTGTTCTTTTTAAGCAATGCAGGCAAAGGCCTGCCATTGTTTATTTATTTGAATTTAATTTAATTTATGATCTTTATTTCAAAAACTACTCCCATATGCCATAGTGTTCATCCCATACTCAACATTCATTTTCAATATTTCCAAAAGTAAACTGAAGTCCAAATACCCACAACCCTATTTCCAAACTTTCATCAATATACTCAATGTGCATATTTGCCTAAAAATGAAATAAAGACACAGAAATTGATATTATCTCTCTGTCTTAAAAAAAAACTCATAATTTAGTGCTAAAGGAAAAATATGCAAACATGATTATTAATATAATGAATGTAAATGAAGATAACCATAGCAAACAAACTGAATCAAATATAAAGACAAAGGTTGCAGGTACACTCTCATTTGTGGGTCTAAGACTTTATAGAAACATAAAATCATATATGCATAAAAGTCATGAACATAAAAGCAGCACTGTGTAGGGAAAGACATAGGACCAATGAGAAGAGGAGGAGGAAGAAATGGGGTAATAAGAATAGAGATGGAATATGTTCAAAATGGACTGTATATTTGCTTGAAAATGGTCTTCCATATCTTAGTATAATTAAAGGAAGCCTAAAACAGTACTCCTGAAAGAGCAACCACCTGGGATATGTCTAGTGGCTCCAGTATTAAGAGGGGTTTTAGCACAGAATTCCTAGAAGATAGGTCATAAGATCATCAGTGTTAAGTCCCTCCCTCATTGAATAAATGATTACCCATGGCCATTGTACCAGCTTACATCAAAGCCCTGATTAGAAAAATGCTGTGATCTGGAGCCCTTTGAGGCTTGCTCACACTAAGACTCTTTATTAGTGAGTGATATTTATACAGACAATTTCTCTTTCTTAAAAGTTTTAATGAAACATCCAAGTGCCTAGTGGTAGCATTGAGTCCTGTTTTCATCATTAGGCAAGCTTTCTGATGGTTGTAGGTATTCCAGAGTTGACTCAGTGATGCACATTAAATCAAAGTGAATTTTTTGAGTAGATGAATTATAGTAGGTGTATACATGCACACAAAATTCAAATTGCCTACAAAAAAAATATATTATAATTACCTTTCTGTTAGTTTGGTATGGAACAGTATTTGGTGATGTTTCCTTTCCATTCATTCATTATTTTTTCTAATTTCAATTTATATTACTGCTGAATTTTAAAACTCTTGTAATTCAATAATCCTGCATGGTTAGTCCCTTGTCCATGAATACAGTTCTCCATTGCACATACACACTGACAAATCATGCAAAATAGGCAAAAGATTAGCAGATAAAATGAAATATTAGAGAAATAATAGAGAACAGAAAACTTAAAGTTGTGATCACAAAATATTTCTCTAGAAAAATGAATTATGTGATAAATAGTAGTTGCTAGCAAGTGGCAGGAAGAATGTCTTTTCTGACCTAGAAGGCAGTACACATAGGAAGGTAAAAGATGTCAGAATATTGTCAGATTTCAAAAAAGTATGGAGCAAGATCCAATGCCCTGTAGGAGAATATGCTTACGATTTTAATGTTGAATGGTCAGTAGAGAGAGCAACCATTGCAAGAATTTCAGTGGATACAACAGTATGGTAAATGTTGTGTTCTTATACAACATTCTCATTGCTGTGGGGTTGAGTAATTCGGAATAGATGGAAGGTAAAAATCAAGCAGACAGTATGGGGAGAGACGATGGGTAAAAATCAAGTAGGCAGATTGGACGATCATTGCTGCAGCAGACAAGATAATTGGTTTTCTTTAACTAAACAATGCATTGGAATATCTGAGGTATGATTTGGTATAAAATCAACAATACACACAAAGAAATTGACATAGAAGGTATTAAAGAAGACTGTTAAATTTTCTCCCTTAAATCCTAAAAGAATAAAGGCATGTGTTCATAAATATCTAAGTTTGCTGGGTAGTGGTGGTGCACACCTTTAATCCCAGCACTTGGGAGGCAGAGGCAGGCGGATCTCTGTGAGTTTGAGACCAGCCTGGTCTACAAGAGCTAGTTCCAGGACANAAAAAAAAAAAAAAAAAAAAGAAAAGGAAAAAAAATCTAAGTTTAGTGTTAGATCAGAGCAATTTGACATGCCTTTTCAGATTATTAAATAAGAAGTCATTAATTTAAAAGGTTGTGGCTTTAATATGTGCAAGAATATGTACCATGAACTGGAAATATAAGATAAAATTAAGTTTCCAGGAAACTTAAAATATTGGCTAGAGAAAAGTTTGTTTAAAAAAAAGGTAACACCACTGTGCAGTTCGTATTATAGGTGCAGAATAAACAGTATTACGAGCAACTGGAGAAAGTTTAAGCTTGAAATATAAGTCGCCATTAATAGGAAGGGTGATAATGATGGTTCTGGAACTAAGTGATATCTGCAGCATCATTAAGATCATCACCTAGAAATGATGCAGGAATGACTAATGCACTGCTTCCTTGTCTAATATAATAGGCACATACAATTATTACACTCTTCAACAAAATGACCTTGTGCAAAGACAAAGCCTTCATTGTTAATTCCTCTTTCTTCTTGCTCAGGTAACTTCTTGGATGAGTAGTATGCACTCACATTTACACACTTTCTCCCACTCTCTGCCTGCTGTTAGAAGGATTTAGGCAAAGACCTAGGTCTACCATGATCTGGAACCACAAGGTTATTTATCATTCCTTATTTTACAAATGTTTCTGTTCAATGAAGTGGGCTTGATGCTGAACATTTTGGAACATGTTACAACCCAGGTTTCTCTGTTCTACGTAAATGTCATTTCTGATTTTGCTTTATTTTATTTTGCCTGTTCGGGGCAGGAGATGTGGGCTGCTGTTGCCTGTTGCATATATAATCTAGGCCATTAAACATGGAGGTTTCCCAGCTTAGATGTTTGCTCCCTGTGGTTTTCCTGTTACAAATTTTCCCCGATAATGTGATCTACTTTGGTCCTTAAATGTTTGCCAATGCCATTGGACTACAGACCTCATTCTTTTCCTGTATTCAGATGTGGGAATATAATTTACAAGTGTGCTTTCTTCTTCAGTTTGAAGACAGGAAAGCCAGGCATTGACAAATCCACCCAAATCCTCACATGGGCTTATAAACCCTAACATATGTGTGTATGTGTGTGCGTGCGCACGTGTGCATGTGCGCATGCACACGTGCATGCATGTGTGTATGAGGGTGTGAATAAAGTGAGCACTCAGTTCATTCAAGTCTACCTGATTGTTGCAGGGGGCCGCTTGTTCATTCCCGACTGCCCAGAACCAAAATAATCACTCAGAAACTGTATAAATTAAACTGCTTAGCCAATCACTTAAGCATATTGCTAGTTAGCTCTTATATCTAGAATTATCCCATTTACATTATTTTATATTTTACCACGAGGTTTGTGGCCTCCTGGCAAGGTTCCAACTGGCAGCTTGCTTCTTTCCCCTCCGATGGCTACATGGCGTCTCCTGACTCTGCCTTCTTTATCTATATATCTTTTCCAGCCTGGCTAAATTCTGTTAAGCCTTTGGCTGAAAGCAGCTTCTTTATTCATTAACCAATAAAAAGCAACATAAACAGAAGGACTTCCCACACCACCTGTTGTAAAATAATGAGCATTATATAAATCAAAAGTGTTATACGTTTAGAACAGCCCAGGAACAGGCTCTTTGACTAAGGATTTTACATTTTATCATGTAGACAGTATGGAACTTTAAGAGATTTTTCAAATGGAAAAATTAAAGTTTGTGTTTCTGGCTACTAGCATAAATGTGAGTGTGTGTGTGTGTGTGTGTGTGTGTGTATCCTCATTGATGACAACAAATAGTTATTCTTTACCTAATAGTACCAGCGGTGAGAAGTATAAAAAGACCCCTGCTCTACAAATATTGACATTCTAACGTTGACAGATATAATAAATGGTTAGATGTTAATATCAGAGATTAGCAGCGCAATGTGGAAATCCAGATCAATATAATAACTAACAGCTGCAGCTAAAAATCCCTTCTTCAATAAAGTGCGTGTATATATGAATCCAAGCAAAAAGAGTAGCTTCCTACATGAAAAATAAAGAAAAGTATATTTGTGATGCTATAGTGCCAGGACCAAGAAAAAAACAGTGTGGAGAAGAGAGCCAGGACAGTTAAGCAAATACCAAGGCTTTTAGTGTTCTCTAAATCATGGAAGTAAGATTAAAACCACTTACTTATTCAGTCATCTCGTAATCCACTCAATAAGAGCATATCTAGTGCGGTCTTTGACCTAGATAAAGGGAAGGAAAATGTCTATCCTTTCTGTCGACCACGGACCTTGGGTGAAACGTCTGTGTCAAAAGAAAGATTAACAAGAGAAAGCATTATAGTGATTCGACATAAGATGTAACTTTTGAGCCTTAGTTTTGCTTGTTTTTTATTCTCTTTAAGACAGAACTCTCTATGCTACCCAGATTGGTCTCCAAGCCCTGGTCTCACCTAATTTCCTTGTTTAGGTTTCATGAAGAGCTGTTCATCAAGACAGTACAGGTCTATGCTACCATACCAGTCTAATACTAACTTTGGAGCGACATAAAAACCTCCACAAAGCA